ATTATGAAAATACGCATACTGGGTCTGTACTCTGTAGCCATCCATTTGCAATCATACATAATACTTTATTCATGCACATTCAGATTAATCAAGAAATGAATGGAAATAATATCGAATAATCATCGGCCAAATAGATCCCTTTCCACCATAATTGGTTTCAAAATGCATTTAGAAAGTGAAGAGTCACCATATAATAAACTGTCTTAAAACCACATGCACTTTTTCAAAATAAATCCTGAACTAATATATGGAAAGACACGTCCATGCATTTAGATTCCACAATTACAACCATATGCAATTTATATAATATTTCAGTTTTATCATTCACTAAACCAATGGATGGCATGGACAGTAAGACACAAATTCATACAACAACATAATAGTTTCTCAAGTATGCATCGGTTCAATTTTTAAGCGTGTACAAAACCAGATTTAAATTACAGTCAAAATCCACGTAAGTTGTCTATCACAATCTAAAATGCACAATTAAACAAAATTCATCTTAAGATTGTAGGAGATATTACACCGATAATGTGCATATTATATTCATCAAGAGCATGCCGTTAATATGCGTGAAATCGAAACATCATTCGACTTACCGAAATCTGATTTGAGAAGATAAAATAGCGATTTACCGACTTCGAATATAATAATATGAATTCTTCACTTCCCAATATGAGTGAACGCATGTTGTTCTTCAATTCAAACCCTTCAATAAAACACATAAATAAATTAACCATATTCTGAAATCAAGCATAAATAAAATCAGAAATGAGAAAGATGAAATGCAAGTGATGCGATCGGTCGAGGCAAGTGTTTGACACTTTTTCCTTAAGATGAATTTGCCCCGCATCGGTGCTAACGGTTTCTCGGCAATCATCTCCCAAGATACAACGACCACGTCAAGCCATAGGAGCACTCCAAATGACTTAGACCAACGAACTCGAACGGAGTTCCCTCTCTACCATAACCATGATTTTGATGCAAGAGAAAATCACTTCTATAAAGTGTTTTATGCAAAACTAAAGTAACCATGATATGAAACTATCAAATGAATTGTTTGTTGTGTAGTTAATCCAAACACATAGGGAATCCATATATATAGTAGTTGGAACATCCATACCAAGAGACACATCTTTTGAATAATCATAATTATTGGAAGTTACTCATATCAAGAGTCATGCTCTCCAAGAGTCATGATCCATATGAAAAGACACATCTTTTCATCTACATTCTTTAGAATATTCCACAATATTCTACACAATTCCAATAATTTCAAGTATTAAGTGGTTTAAGTTTGACTTAATTTCTCATTCACCAAATAAGGAATTTCCACTTAAATCATTTCAATTGGTCACAACCAATTTTCAATACAAAATTCCAACAGTTCCAACTAGATAATGTGGAGTTGTCGATTTTTATATCCCACAAGTTGTACGGATCGTAACAAGTAATATAATTGATCAATGAGTCTAGATATCTTTCTCACGAGAACTACTATCTAACAATTAGTTAAATTATTCATAACTTTAATTTGATCGAAAACAGATAATAATGTTTGTGATTTGTGTCTAAATTATTCTAATTAAACTAAATTATCTAACGTACACAATTTATTGAGTTTGAGTTTTAAAAGTATAAATGTGGATGCTAAAACTTACCATTTTACCTATGCATCCCCTTTAATTCGCCAATAAGATTCAAAATTATTGTAGTGTTCGGTTGAATTCTTCTAAAGTGTTCAATTTACCACTATTTAGTTCTCATTGAGTCTATTTAACTAATTCAATTCCATAATTCTATGTGAATCAATTTAGTTAAACGAAATATTAGTTCTAAGAATTCATCTAATGACCGCAATAATTAATATAGGTATCTCTATACGTTATACTAAATTACTGGATTTTAATATGTGGCCTAAATTTGAAACTTACATTTTGATTCGTAATAGATTCACAATGACCAAAGAATTCAAAGCATTAAATTCATGAATAAAATCAATACATGTGCATCTAAAGAACTAGAATATTGAATAAAAGAAATAAATGGCCACACATAGATTAAATTGTTCGTTCTAGTTATGAATTTAGCTACTTGTAATAATGAAAGAAAAACAAAAAGTATAAAGTTCATAATCGGGTTTTGAAATTTTGATCATGGAAAGTATTGGATCTTGCACAAAGAATCTTCTTCAACCTCAAAAGTCTTCAAACCCTACGATTTGCTCTTTGATCTTGATGATTATGTGTTTTTCTCTCCCCCCATGTGTAGAACTCCCTCAAAGTGTCAAAAATTGTATTTACAATCCTTCCCACGTTTGTGTTGAATGTAGGATTTTTATGACCTTCAAAAAGGACAAAAAAGGCACTCTAGATACACTCGAGCGACGCCTTGGTGCCATGGGAGTGGCGTCGCGACTCGTCTTTCTAATAAGTATGGTTTCCCACAAACTATACTCCAGGCCACTATTGATACTACTTCCGTCCCCAAATCTTACTCTCAGGTGGCTAGTCAAGCATACTGGAAGAAAGTAATACAAGAAGAACTTCAAGCTCTCGATGATAATCATACTTAGGACAATTGTTCCCTGTCCAGATGGGGTGAAAGTTATTGGACGCAAATAGGTTTACACAAATAAACTTTGAGCTGATGGTTCCATAGAACGTTATAAGGCACGCCTTGTGGCACTTGGCAATAGACAGGAATATGGTCTTGACTATGAGGAAACGTTTGCACTAGTGGCTAAGATGACTACAATATGCACTATCATTGCCATCACTGTATCTCAAGGATGGTCTCTTTAATAGATGGTTGTCAAGAATGCTTTTCTATATGGAGATTTGAAAGAGAAAGTATACATGACTCCGACTCCTGGCGTGTTCACTCATTCCTCTCTTGAGGTCTGTTATTTGAAATAATCATTATATGGGTCAAAGCAGGCAATTCGAGCATGGTTTGAGAAATTTCTCAATACTCTACTTAATTTTACTTTTAATTCAGAGTCAATTTGATTCATCTCTTTTCCTTCGAAAGACTACTACTGGGATTGTTGTTCTTTTGGTATATGTGGATGACATTGTCTTTATAGGTTCTGATCCACAGTTAATTGATGACATACAACAGCATCTTCGAACTTCCTTTCACATGAAAGATCATGGTCCGTTGCAATATTTTCTTGGTCTTGAAGTATACTTTACCTCTATGGGGACATTGTTGCATCAATAAAAATATACACATGAGATTCTTACTTATGTCGGGCTTCAGTCAAGCAACCCAGTTTACACACCTACGAAGGTCAATTTGAAACCTTGCCAAACAGAGGGAGACATTTTAGTTGATCCTTTGCTTTATCGACAGTTGGTAGGGACTTTAAATTATTTGACTATTACGTGCTTGATATCTCTTTAGCTGTCCAGCAAGTTAGCCAGTTTATGCAGGCCCTTCGACATTCTCATCTTGTTGCTATGCAACGTATTCTTCATTTTTAAAAGGGTACATCTAGTCGAGGATTATTTTTTCCTATTGGGAATTGTTTATAGTTAACCGGTTTTACTGATATTGATTGGGCTGGCTGCATGGATACTCGACGTTCTATTACTTGTTGGTCATGTTTCTTGGGGATGCTCTTATCTCATGAAAAATTAAAAAGCAAAATTGTGTCTCGAAGTCCTCCACCGAATATGAATATCAGGCTAAGTCCTCAGCTTGCTATGAGATTGTGTGGCTTTGGGGCCTACTTGACGAACTTGGTTTTCCTCAGCATACTCCTACTCCCCTTCATGCTGACAACACAAGCGCTATTCAAATTACTGCTAATCCGGTATTACATGAACGGACTAAGCATATTGAGGTTGATTGTCACTCTATTCAAAAAGCATTTGATCAATAAGTGATTACCCTTCCTCACATCTCTAGAGATTTTTAGACCGCAGGCATATTCACCAAGGCTCTTGGCCGTCTTCGACATTAGTTCATGGTTGACAAATTGATACTTTTAGATCAATCAACATCAATTTGAGAGGAGATATCAGTCATGATATCAATGCCTAGTTACCATATCTTCTACATAATTACATTTACTGTCTTACATTGTAAATATTGAATTGGGACTGTAATTAGTAGATTTGACAAATTGTAATTAGGGAAAGATTGTAATTAGGATATTTGACAGATAATACTTATGCTGTAATTAGGGAAATCATTCCAATTTAATGAGAATAAACTCTCGACCGAGAGGCATCGAGCCATCGAGACAAATTTGACAATAATGATGTGGTAACCAAATGCATGTGCCTCCACCATCTTATAAAGCTACTTTGACCCCATATAAGCATTCATTCAGTTTCTTTAATAAAGAACACAAACCGTGCTAAGGAGAGCCCATTTTAATCTCATAAAGGAAGCTCCACAAATTAATCTATTTTCTTTTACATTTTCCGTCCAGTGAAAATATATACTGCAATTAGTGGCAATAAAATTGAACTCAAGAGATTCTGCTTTAGCAACCGGATAGGGTACCAATTCAATTTTCAATACCACCACTCGATCCTCAAGTGATCATTCTAAAGTGGTCTACCACTCCAAAATGCAAGTCAGCAACTAATAGTCCATTCCGAAGGTGAGCTAGAGATGACCTAGGTCTTAGTTTTTTTTTCGCTTATTTTTTTTTTTATTTTTTTTTTGTGGGTGGGGTGTGGGGAGTTAACTCCCAAAAAGTAATTCTCAAAGTTTACAAAAGATAGTGCTGTCAACGATCATGCCTCACATTCAATAGAACATAAGAAGCTGAAAGTGTCCGACTGAGAAGTTTGTTATGCACGAGTGCCAAATGTAGCTCAGCATTTTTATCCACATTTGAACATCAAAATGCGACTTAAATACCTAAAATTACTATTTTGAGTGCTGATGATGAGCGGGTAATGCTACAAACATAAGAGTAGGAATAATCTGAACTATGCTTAGACAAAAACTTACATAACACTATTGAACTAAAGATAAGTTCAGCCACCAATATGTATCATCGGTCTGTTTGGTGTCTTTGCAATGTCAAACATCCCAGCATGAGCAGCTTTCTTCCTTTTCACCTGAAGTTGAAAGCAAATGCTTAAAGTTGTAACATGACATTTGACATAATAGAAGACACATAGCACGAAAGGGAGGGAAATGAAAAACTCAGCCTTTACAGTCAATTAAGATGAGAAGCCATCAAAGGGAGAATTGTTATAGTTTTCTATGATCTCTCTCTCAAAACAGAAATCACTTAAAGCCAATAGCAAATTCAAGTGACGACGAAAAAAATGCTAGTTACATAATATCTTGCTACAACCCACGAACAGGGTGAAATTAAGAATGAGAAGGAATCCTCAGCAATTGCAATATAAATGGTGTTTCCTCCATTTACTATCTGAGACAATAGTTCATACATACCGCTGCCCCTATAATCTCCTTGAGCTCAATATCATCAACACCCTGACGCAGAGGTTCCCTCAAGCTAACCTGGAAGGAATGAACTCTGATAAGACAGATGAATAACTTGTGCTCAAATTTAAGCAGAAGTTAAATCTTAAATTGGATCTTATGTCACTCAATATAATGCGAACACAGCAATCTGCCCAACTCTGGGATGGAGAACATCTTAAAAGACTATGGGACCAACACATGTCTTACTTTGTGAAAACCCATTTGTTACTGGACTAGCAAATGGAAGGTAAATATCAAATATCATGAATTTGATCTAGAATAAAATACACACACTAGATTTTGAAAAGGATGAACACATACCAAATAAAAATTATATTAGCCATTCAATCTCATTTCAATTTCTATCACATAAGTGCAATTGCCAGCAACAGAGCAAGATCTGCATGTCAAATCATTGGGTAGAAAATCATTTTCTATCTCATAAGAATTACTAAATGTTATATAAAATAGAAAATGAGGGATTTGATTGCAATTTGGACTCAGTAGATTACCAAGTAGCATTATATGGAACCTATTTTCATATTATATAAACAAAAACCTAAACCACCGATATAGAGAGAGAAAAAGGGGGAAAAGAAAAGAAAAAGAAAGAAGAAGAAAAAAGGAAAACCTAGCACCGCAACCTTTCTCCACCCTCTCGATGACGACGCTAGATTTATAGAGAGCAGAAGGGGGAAAGAAGAAAAGGGAAAGAAAAGGAAAAGGAGAAAAAAAAAGGAAAGAAGAAGCAAAAACGACGAAGTGTCCGATTAAAATTTGGATGATCCGACACATATCCCATACCCATGTCGTGTCATGTTTGACACTGGTACTCCGACTATTTCGAAGAGTCCAAGCATCAGAGACAAAAATGTTAGGAAAAATTTACATTATTTATATTTAGAAAATGCTTAAGGAGTGAGCTAGAACAGTATAAGAAAAAGGGCATAACAAATAGGATACTATACAAATTGTTTTCCATAATATAATTTTGTGATGACTTGACTGTAATCTTTGCAAGACTACAATTTCATAAATTGAAATCCATAAAATTCTAAAATTTCAAATAAATGTTGAACAATATGGAAACTAGTGCATACATTCTACAATTCGAATAATACTGGTTCTTTTTTTCCCCCCTTTTTGACAATCTTATTTGGGTGAATAGCCTAAATCATATGAAAAAAATTATGTTAACCTTATCCAATTTCATGTTCATATTTTGATTCATTTTATCAATAACATTTAAACTGTGGGACCTAAGAGAAAATAAATTGGAATAGCTTGATTTGGGTCCATATTATGATAATAAAAAAAAACTAACCATACTTATTTTTCTAAAATGTAGTATAAGGGGGCATGACCAAAAAGAGTCCAAATTTTGGACACATGTACGTGGATACGTCTTTAAAATTTTAATTTTTTAACTAATCCAACATGTCATTTTAAATAGACCAAAATCAATTGCTCACAAATAATGAAATGAGTATTTAATAAGGGGTTAAGATGAATGACATAGAAATTTAGGTTTAGTTTTCAATTATGGGAAAATAATTGCTAAATGTTATATAAAATAGAAAATGAGGGGCTTGATTGTAATTTGGACTTAGTGACACTAACCCATTTTCATTTTATACAAAAAAAAAAAACCACTGATACAGATTACAGAGAGGGAAATAAGGGAAAAAAAAAGAAAAGGGAAAGAAAAAAGAAAGAAGAAGAGGAAGGGAAAACTAGCATCATCACCGCTTTTCTCCACCCTCTTAGTGGCGGCGCTAGATTTACAGAGAGCGAAAACAGAAAAGAAGAAAAGGGAACGAAAAAAAAGAAAGAAGAAAAAGAAGGAAAAACAGAAACGGTGGTTGAACTTGGAGGATTCAACACATATCCCATACCCGTACTCATGTCGTGTCGACACAGGTACTCCAACCATTTCGAAGAGTCCGAGCATCAAAGAATAGAAGTTAGATGGTGATATTGAGAGAAAGTGTGTGAAAATTTTCGAAAAATGAAATGAGTTGAAATATTTACCAAAAAATTCTAAAATCAACAAAAAGATAAAAAGAAAAGAAATGGAAGTTCAAATTCCAAATGGCTACGTCCATTAGATTGGTTTTTTCCTTTTTTCTTAAGTCCGTCCACACAAGCCAGCCTGCAAGGGCCGCAGACCTGGCAAAACCCACCTTTATGGGTGGACCCACCAACGACACAGTCCCAACCAAGCCACCTTGGGCCTGGGCATCTCTGGCCCCATCAACAGCACAGTCCTAACAAAGCTGCCTCAGGCCTGGGTGTCTCTGGCCCATTTTGACACCTTCAGTGTGAGGTATAGAGACTTTTTTTCTCTTAACTAAAAACATTTACATTAATAATGCAAAGATACTATACCAATAAGAAAAGGCAGCACAAGTTTCAATATAGAGTATGAATAAATTTTATGCTATGAAAGTAGATTAATATATGAAGAATGATGAAACACTTCACCTCTGACGGTCCAAAAAGGCAAACTTTAAAATTTCCATCTGCTAAAAGTCTCAATCTATTGCAACCAGCACAAAAGTGCTCCGTCATTGATGTGATGAAGGAAACTGTACCCTGGTGACCATCTATCCTGAAATTCTTGGCTGTCTCTGAGGGATGGTCCCGAATCCTTTGAAGTCCTGGAAACCGTTTCACCTGTTCAATAAATTGAACAATTCAAGGCATGCAGAAAAGAATATCATAATCTAAAACCGTTAAATATTGCAGAGTTCTACCTTACCACTCTATCCAACATTTCAGAGTATGGTACAAGTTTCTTCACATTCCAGACATTTCCGTCAAAAGGCATAAACTCAATAAACCGGACATTGATTAGCTTATCACGTGTTAACTCGACAAAATCACAAATTTCATCATCATTGAATCCACGCATTACGACACAATTCAACTGAAACAGAAGGTTCAAAGCATGTATTTGAGATGTCCTTATAAAAACTCTTGACATTAGAAAGGAAGAAACCAAATGAACTAAACAACTTCCAGTGTTGGAGATAACCACGCTCAGTGTCAGCTCATAAGGCTGTGTTCTATAATTATTAGCCCTTGTTTGAGCCAAATTCTCTGAAAACTCATTTTTCTCCAAACTTATTTTCAACCACACATTATATCAACAATATAATTTTTCATGTAAACCCTAAATTATTCCCTACTTTTTAACCACACATTCTCCAAAAAAAATCGCTATATTACAAAATCTATTTTATCGGGAGAATGTGTGGTTGAAAATAAGTTTGGGAGAAAAATGAGTTTTTTAAAAAATGGGGCTCGAACATGGGCTCAATATGGAAAGGTCAAAATGATTATATGAAATATGGTAAAATTTACTTTGACAGGATTATATCCCAAATCTATTGCTGCATCAATCGACTTCATTATCCTTTCATGTCCTTTACGCCTAGTCATAAATTCAAATTTTGCAGGAACCAAAGTGTCTAAACTTATATTCAACAAACTAAGTCCACATTCTTTTAACGATGGAAGTTTCCTATCAAGAATAATTCCGTTTGTAGTCATGGCCAGGGTCTTCAATCCATTTAGAGCTGACAATTGTAAACAAATTTCTTCAATATCCTTCCTAATGGTTGGCTCCCCACCAGTCAAACGAATTTTGTGTACACCAGAACTAACGAATAAATTTGCCAAACGAACAATCTCATTCGTTGAGAGAAGTTCCTGGCTAGGAGTAAGCTCCGCACCCTCAGCTGGCATACAGTATTGGCATCGTAAATTACAACGTTCTGTTAACGAGATCCTCAAGTAAGTATGTTGCCTCCCAAATGAATCAACTAACATATCAGAGACAGGATTATCTTTTATTGCATCCTCTGCAAATGCTCCACAAGAGGTTGAGAACATCTTCAGTGTGGAGCCATCTACATGGCCACTTAGACCTTGAGTATCCCGGCTTCCATACAGAATCGTATACTTGGCCTGTTATTCAAAAATGACTATAATTAACTAATTATAGACTAGTAAGCCGATTCAACAAATAGAAATTAAAAAGTAAGACAAAGCTACAAAAATAAAAATGAATGTAATAGATCAAAGGGGGGAAGGGAGAAAAATGAAGCAATCTGTCTACAAACCTAACTATTGCAATTTCTCCGTGAACAATAGAAAAAACTAATCGAAAGAAAAATACTTCTTCTGAAGAAGTGTATGGACTAGTTAGCATAGTGAAAAAACAAATTACTCTTCATATAGAGCAACTGGATTGACCACGAGAAGTAAATTAAAATAATGCTACAACTGCATTCAGTGGAAACAATAACTAATTCTTCTCCATCCCTTCTTCCTTAGTCTGAAAATGGAAGGAAGCGGAAAAACAGTCATTCAAATGGAACCTAAAAGGCTTTGGCGTGCAAAATATTCCAGCATAACTTCACTATCACTAGCCTTCTTGGTAAATTGACAAGTTAGCCTTTCAAACATTAACAGAAGATATCAACTCACAGTGTCCTTCTTGCCAATTTGGTAATATAACGAATATTCACTCAGAGATTTCTGAACTCTTCTCAATAGTACAAAAGGAAAAGTGGAAAAAAGATAATTTTAGGATGATAATGAGTTTACATAATGAACTCTGGAAAACAATCATTAAGAAGACTTCAAATTTTCTCTGGTAACATATCCCTCATCTGTAATATTAACAATTTGGACCAACTTATTTCTCAAATTTCAATTGACACTATTCCATATAAATCATGTTCGTTCATAAGTGTAACTATCCTCATCTTCTGAAGCTTAAATTTTATCGTCCAGCATTAAAAATATCAATAGAAATAACAGCAATGATCTCGTCACGAGTTTGAATCACATAAGTACCCAAGATTAGCATATGGAACACGCCAACCAAAACTATAAAGTCGAAAATACATAAACCATGCCCATATCATTTTCCATAATCACAAGCACGAAGAAAAACTCCCACAAATTAAAATTCAGAATCAAACCATCCAAGTTCAAATCAAAGTAATCATGCACCTGCTCAATAATTCAAATTGTGGCTGTTTATAGATGCAGCCGAACCCATCACTACAAAATATATTACTAAATTGGGTGCAAATAACTTAGTGCCGCATAAACATCAAAAAAGTATTTCAAAAAATGCAAAGAAGCGTACCAAGCTTAAATTTCTGCAACCGCGATGCCATTGGAAAATTTTGGAGATGCCGGAACGCATGAATAAAGCAAATTAAGTCCACAAATATTTCTGCTTATTCTGTTCCTTCTCTATGAAGTTTGGGATATCAATGAGTGAAAAAATGTGATGAATAAGCGTTGGCTGAGATTGGGATGAATTTGCTTTGGAATATTGGAATCTCTCTTTTTAAAAATGGTAAAAGGAAACAAACGGCAGTGAGACAAAAATGTACCCAGAACTACAAAGAAAGAGAACGATGGCCGTTCAATTTGCATCTCCGCCATAGAGACAACTAGCTCGTGCCTTGCGCCAAAGGTCAAACCGGTGTTTTTCACATTTTACATTTGCGTGGCTCATGTTTGTAAACCCATTATAAACATTTTCAATGATGCTAAACATTATCCTTGACATAATAATATGGTGATAATTTATTATTAAATTGTTTAAAATACAATCAATTTTTCAAACGAATCACATTTTGTCAACTAATTATTATGTCACCTACTTACAAAATAGCATTATTCAAACACTTGTATCCATATATTTCAAAAATCATAAGTGTATTTATTTATTCATCATACATTTTTATCAATTTATAATGTGAATAATTTATAAACAATTCTCAAATTTCCTTTATGGACAAAAATCTTGAGGTCCCTTCAAAGTTCAGAGCTTGTTTGGTAGATCTTAAAATTGAAAAACTACCCGTTATTGTTGACTTTTATTAGACGAGTAGAACCAATAACGGGTATATTTTCAATTTTAATTGAATTATAATCCCTCCCAAACAAGCTCTTAGACTTTCTGGGGCCTTAAATTTTAGGGTGCGTTTGAGTCATATTATTTTGGATTAGTAAATTGATGGAGAATATATAGTGATGACAAAAAAATCAGCCCGAAGGGTTGACTGGGCGGGGCGGGACGAGGCGGGGTTCGTCACCTCGTCTCGGGTCGCTGGGCGGAGATGCCCCCTGAAGAATTAAAAAAAAATTTATTTTGGACATTTTTTGTTTCGAGTATTTGTTTTGAATATTGATGTAGTTAGTTTAAACATTATTTGCTTTAGATTTTAAAATTTTGAATTTGTATTTTAACTGAAAATTATATATAAAAAAAAGGCAGGAAATGGGGCAAGACCGTGCCCCGCCTTGTCTAAGGCAAGGCGGGGCGTGGGGCGGGTTAGGGAGTGGCGGGGCAGGGGTGGGGTGGGGGTGCCCCGCGCCGAACTCGTCCAATTACCATCCCTAAGAATATGTGATTAAAAAATAAGGAAAATTTTTGGATGTGATGGAAAATATTATTTTATTAAAAAATGTGTAGTTGAAAATGAGTTTTGAAAGAATGAATTTTTATAGAATGTCGATCAAACATGGACTTAATCATACTTTATTGAATTAAACTTGTTTGTCAAAAGTATTTGACACATTTCTTGAATTCCATTCACATGGGGGTGGGACCCATATGAAGAAAAATATGTCCCCATGAAATTATTTATGGGACTTATAAATTTCGGCCAACTCGACATTTGAAAAACTTGATCGTTCCTTAAACTATACACCATGTCTGCAAGATGTCCCTAAACTTTAGTGATGGATGTATTTTACATGTTTATTTATGTTATTAAACTAGTTAAATAATTGATGATTACATCAAATTTCTACTTAATTTAGTGTAAATTTGTTATTGTAGGTAAAATTTGAACTTAAAGCATTCCGGGCAAAAATGAAGGATTTTGAACTTAATTAAAGTTAATTCGAAACAATTGAAGGCTACCAGATTGCATTGAGTTGATAAGAAGTTTTAAGATAACAATTGGAGGAAATTTACAAATTTTGGGAGTGAAATTCAACATTTGAAAATTTTGGGGACTAATATGCACATTTTCGAGCTTGAGGACAACCAATTTCATATGATTATGAAGTTTTCAGATCAATATGGAAACTTTTGGAAGTTACAAGATCAAAATTGAGCATTTGGACAGAAAATGACCAAAATTGGACAAAATTAAATTTTAGGGACCAAGACCACGGTCTAGGTTGATGCCTGTTTGCCGCGGTTCATTATGGTTTTACTTATCGCGGCGAGCCATGTTTCGGTTTGGGGGGAGGCTTTTGAGTTTTTGATTTTCTTTCTCTGGTTTGAATCCTTTTCAAGGCATAAATTCCCTAAAGCACCTTCTCATAATGTATGTAAGCACATCGACAAGGTCAAATTAAAGGAGGAAAGGGATGTTAAGTTATTGCCTCAATAGTCAAATAATTGGAGGAATTCTATTGCAAATAAAAGTCAAAATAAAAGAAAAGTGGCTGCTGGGCCAAGAAGGAGAGAAAATAGGGCTTCTTTGTTTGATTAGGTTGTTGGGAAGATAATATATATACACCCACACAGAAGCCGAATAAAGTGAAGAAAAAGGACTGCCTGTGGTGGAAGAAAAAGGTGCTGATTTTTCTTCCTTATTTTCAGGCTGGTTTTCTTCCTCTTCTTTGGCTAGTAGCTGGATGTGATAGAAACTGAAGCT